GCAGTTCACAATAAGTTAAGTGAATGGATTGCACATTATCCAGTGATATTGCACAGACAGGTGAAAGAATATCACAGGTCAAATGATGGCCAGGCTCACAATTGCTCACTTAGTCCAAAAACACTCAAACACTCAAGTATTTTCATTTGTTATGAAATGAGGGGAAAAAAGAAAACCTGGGGAGCTGGTGAATAGAACTTCATTCGAGCTTTTCACACATTCAAAAATCAACAGCAATGTGTTGTTTGATAAACTATGTCACGGTTGGATACTCCACAGACCACAATGTGAATAGTTTTCATTTCAACCTCCAGAGAAAGGCTCCTTGAGGGTTTTGAGAGCATAATTAATTGAAGAACGACAGGAAAGTACAAGCTGAACATCGCCTCTAAGTCCAAGGTAACATATTTCACTCTTTTTCATACAGGTTTGGTTCCAGTGACCCACAGCTTGTCTTCACCCAGAGAGCAGAGACTAAGCTACAGCATGGCTTCCCACAACACTGTCAGTTCCAAATGAAGATGTGGGAGGATAGTGTCCAAAAGTCTGAGACCACTTCTACATTAAAATATATGGAGATGTTATGTTTGACTTTTATCAAACGTTATTGATCTCATTCTTAGAAATAAGAAGGTTATTATTTGTAATGAGAACATTAATAAAATAATCCACACATTGAAATAACTCCTGATGACACCATTGACACCACAGGTGCACATTTCTGGGGAAAAAATGAGACAGAGTGAGATTAACATTTTGATTCATGCTGTGCAAGTGACATTTTTCTCGGAGAGATGCTCTCACTTGTATAAAAATGTTCACACAATAATTCTCAAACAACAATAATCTCAAGGATATTTTAAAGCCGCCTGTCAGTGTTGGGGACCTTGGAGTTTATGAAATGTCACTCCCGTGAGCTTGGAAAAATTTACCTTGAGGCCACAATTGGTGGGTTGCATTTGTCACCTGTTTTTTACAGTGACACACACTCTGTCTATTTAGTGACAGCAGAAGCACACAGGTTTAGGTGATGCAGTAACTGTAATCTCAGGATGCAGTCCACAAAAAGCTTTGTCTATATTTGCAAAACTTTCACAAAACAAAAAGGGTTTTGTTTTAATTCGCAAATGGAATTTTCACCATTTTATTAAAACTATGTCTGCACCAAACTTGACCTGTAAGTGACACATGCATTTTACATAGTGATACACAATATCAGCAAACGCTAATAAAAGGCAGGAATAAATCTTTTGGCTCTGACCTTAGCTGCTCTGATTTGAACTCTTCATGGACATATGCAATGTTGCTGGTAAATGGTACATGATGTTGTTGTATCCTGGTCCATCAAGATGCCATGCCATTTTCATTATTTCACTTTGGCCCCAGTTTTGCCCTAATCTTATAAAGTCAAGCCACCCAAATCACAAAATCCCTACATTTTTCTCATGGCAGTGAACCTTTCAGATACTTTTAAAATTGCAATGATTTGAAGTTATCCATCACTGAGACTTCCTCTGTAACCCCAACACAATTGAGGTGAGGAGATTGTCTTATATATTTTTTACAGAAGAAATATCTCCACTGTTGTGGGTTTTGTAGATGGCATCTTGTAGAGAAGCTAGAGTTCCCTCTTGGCCCGTCCAATTTAAATTGAATAAATGTATTTGATGTTAAAAAATTGGACCGGAGGGGTAATTTTGTTTAATCGGAGTCTTTATCTTGTACCTTTAAACTCTGAAAATCTGTGTTATCGACCCATTGGTGGTAATAAAAGGTGCTTCCTGCAAGTGAAAGGAGAGTCAACACTGTGGGCTACACAATTCCCCAGAGAACAGTGGATGTGATACAGATTCTCAGACTGAGAAGGAATAAACACATCAGGGTTGAATTTACATTACAATGGAACATCGCAGCAGAGAGACAGGAAAGTCAAAATGGGAGTTTCTATATTTGAAGAAAAACACAGGGTTCTTACATAAATATACTGTACACATCTA